GTTAGGATTGATAAATTATCAAGAAGGATGACCAAGAATTTATGATTTTTTTCAAAATTACCATATTTCATTTAATGCTGTCTAGCCAATTGCGCACATTTTTGTTACCACTTGTCTCCCTTTAAGACTGCAAATGCTCGAGGACATGTCTGGTCTGCGAAAGTTGTCAGATATATCTCAGAACGAGTTTGTTGGTCACGTCAATGACCTTCGGCAGCGGTTTCTAACTGCTTGGGGAGACAGTAAAAGAGTAGAAGCCATAGAGGTAGTCTAGATATCAATTTATTCTATTTACTGATTTCTGAAAGTTCCCTCTCGTAACGAGTCTTATTTAGGTGATCACCGAACTTGCACGGCTGCTCTCTGCTCCTTCGACACCGTCGTTCTTTCCTGTTCAGTGGATCCTCGTCACCGATATTATCGACTTATTTGGTAGTTACGTTTACGATCGCTTGTTGTCGAAAGCCAATGAGGTACTACACAATGCATCTCCAACTAAACTGTTTCTTTTATTATGAAAAGCTCTACAGGAGAGGAAAGTTGCTGGAGAGGGTGAGTTGCCTACTGATTTTGAATCGAATGCCGTGCCTCCCGGTGCCGTTGAAGTGGCGAGGAATTGGTTCAGCAAAGTTGAAGATATAAAAGAGGTTGTTCCTCGATTCTACGGTGTGTTTACAGATTTGATACTTTCCGCTCATTGGGTCCTAAAAGTCATTCAAAAACTGACTATAAATAGTTTTTGTTCAGTAGAAACAACGCTGATTGGATGTCAACGGTTTCTAGACAACACTTCTTTGAGACCTAGTCTTCTTCGACTCGCTACTATGATTGAAAGTAAGTCTTTTGAAAGGTTCCGCAACCGATGCCTGCCAGTTTCTCCGGACAATTCAGAATTCACGCATCCGTTGTCGGCCGCCTACGCTCGCGCTTATATCTGCAAAATAGCTATGATTCTCGACCCAGCAGATCGAGGTCCTCATTGGAAGGCGCTTAACGACCTGATGCAGTCTTCAAAACAACCGGTACATCACTATTTAAGATTTTTGTTTTTCCTAGGAACACTCTTTGTTCATTGATAGTTGTTGTTTTTTAACGCAGTTCGTGGTAGAGAAACTTCACAAGGGCGCTGAGCTTTGGGCAAAACACCGCCTCAGCCGAAATTCGAGCGTGAATCTCACGTACCCATAATTCAGCACCCTTACGATATAGGACTGAGGCCATCCTCTAATGAATGAGAGTACGGTGTTAGGCGTTCATTGAAAATCGAAAACTCGACTTGCCTTGTACTTGACTCGCGACTCTAACTTTTCAAGTCATGCTCTGCAAGGTGAAATTTGTTTAGCAGAGCAGGGGAAGAAGCACAGGGCGGGAAAGGTTGGTGTAAGTGGGCAAAAGTGGCGACGCTCACCACGCGAGCGGTCCGGGATCAATCCTGGGTCGTGAGTCGCCCGGGCCAACCAAGCCTTCCATCCCTCCGGGGTCGGTTAATTGGTACCAGACTTGTCTGGGAGGATAAAAACACTGACTTGTACATCGGCTGGCCCCCGCAAGTCATTGTATAGGCCACATCGCATTCAAACGCCACTACGAATGTACAAATGGATAATAAAAATACGTGAACCGCATCTTTATGCTTCAAGCTTGTGGAAGACGCACCTAACTATATAGCGCGGATGTCCACCATGACATATATACGGTTAAAGTTCGCTGCCCTAGAGACCCATCTATTGAGCCGTGCGCATTCTGGAATCCGTCACTGAATCTAATGTTATTGATCAGACCGAGTACGTCACTCCTGCACTGGAGTGGATTGTGCAGTGTGTGTCATATGGAGCAACAACAATCGAAGATCTTGGACCACTCTGGGAGTATTGCAAAAAAACCGAAAAGCACAGCTCACTCATTCATGCTTTTATGATTGGAATTTCTCTCAAGTACCTTCTGAATCATTGCGTTGAAGTTTGTGAACTTGTGAGTTCTTACGCGCTTCGCTTTTCCAACGGATTTATATCAAGAATGTTGCTGAGCACTATGTTTCTTCCAGATTGTCTCTCAATCTCTCCCTCCAAAAGAATTGGAAACATTCGGCTCTCGATTGCTCTTGGGTGAGGTAGCAGAAGGTTTACACCCGAAAGTTTTCAGGTGGGAACGGTCAGTGAATAATGGGCCTTATTTTCTAGTATAATTTGATGTTGCAGTTTGGTGTGGCCCTACATTTCACGTTTCGAGAAAGAGGATTTCATGAAGTGTTGTGCTGTTTGGAGTAAATTCGTCAGTCGGTGAGATCTATTTTAGTCTTTTTGTGCATCTCAGGCAGCTTTCAACCGTTTTAGTTACTTCGTTTATAAGGTTTAATATTACTAGTGCTTGTTTCGCGAGTTAACGTTTGCCGCTACTAAGCGTCGCGGCAATGGAATGCAAACTCGCGGAATGTGCCTAATGTACGACACAACTGATTAGGGGCCCATCTAGACCGAAAAACTGATTTTCCAAGATTCTGTAGCAATTTTGATGTTGTTAAGTTGTTTTCCAGGTACTACACATTGAAAGAACTTGGTGATCTTTGCGAACTTACTTTGCAGAAATTATCCGGTGTCAAGGTCGGTACTTCTTCTTTTATAGGTGTCGCATCAATTCAATAAATCGGTTCAAGGATTCAAAGAATGTAATGATTTATGAACACTATTTCAGGATCCGAGCGAATATTATGGTTACCTGGCAACAGTCATCGAAAACGTTCTAGATTATGCAGGCAGCGACTTTCCTTCTCTGATGAAGAAAAAATCGCTTATCGACCTTTTGGACTACGTGAGGTGCTTTTTTTCAATTTTTACGCTCTATTCACGATTTTATGCATCTGTAAAGGTTCAATCCAGAGATGAACCATATGGGTCACGTTGTGCCAAAGCTGCCCTTACTGCCATCATTCGAATGTTTGAAGTGGGAAGTGTTGCGGATTTGGAAATCATAGACCAGGTCTTCACAAGTGTTTTGTATTTCTCTCCTTTTATCGCCTTACCTCATCGTTTCTAGATTGTCGATCAGTGCGGCCGCCTGTGTCAGTCAATCCGACCAGAAACCATCAGTGATGAGGTAACTTTACTATTTCTTTTCTATCTTTTCTCGTTCTGTATCTTTGAAAGCGAATGTGCATAATGTAGCTCCACCAAGGTTACCGGCTACTGGCAAAGACGAGGAAGTTATCCACAGTAAATTCTTAAAGCAGATTATCTTCCCAAAGCTTAAGTTTTCTATGGCTAGAGTACCCCCTGAATTTGTCGGAATGAGACGTACTCTTCTGTTCCACTATTGAGACGAGGTCAAAAGTTGGACCGTGGTTTTCTCAGTTTCGACCATGTTCAGGACACACCTTTGCCCATTCAAATTTCTGAATAACTTCTCACTTTTGAGTAATCATAAGAAGGTCATACATAGGTTTGTCCTCAGGTATTGAAATTGATCTAATGGTTGAATATTTGGCAAATGACGTGCCGTGCTAAGTCTCTTCGTCCTTCTCTCTAGACTCTTCGGCAAACTGAACTTGTACAAAATCAGGTTCGAGTGATAGATCGGCTTGTGTCATCAGCGCTAGATCGCCCATGGTTGCCCAAGGACCCAGAAAGGCAATTGGATTTCCTTTGTCATGCACGATCACTCCTCTATCAAAGCGACGGTTGCATGGCGGTAAATTGCTTTTTTATCAAAATTGTTTCTGCTTGCTACTTTCTGGGTGGAGAGCTGGCATTTAGCATGTCGTGACGTTGATGATAGCGTTCGGCTTCCGATTCTATGCCGATTATCCAGCATCCACCAAAAAGGACGACTTTATAAGGTTCGTTTCGGAATGATTTACAGGGTGTCCCATAAATATTGCACCAAATTTTGAGCTCAAATTCTGTAGGTGTTTAGCTTTTCTTCCGAGATTGGCAGACCTTTCAATCCTCTATCCTCTTGTCAATGACCATGCCAAATTCCACGGCTTACCGTTCGGCCTGCATCTCATGGTGCGCCTAAACTTCAGAGTGCCTAACCTCTCACACAGCTAGGTCGGACATCCGGTGATGAGCATCGCGCTTCTTTGGATTTTCAACCGCTCCGCGGCCTACCGTGCACTAAAGACCAATAAAAGTAGTCTTTGTTGTGGCCGCCCCAAGTTCTGACATCTTGGATCTCAGGAAAAGCATGAAGAAGCGAAACGACTGCAATACCCGGGTTGGCTCGAGAAAGGTGACCAGAACGCTGGAGTTTCTAAACACAGCCATGTAGAGAGTGGTCGGATAACAACTGCTCATAAGTTGCATAAGCACCACTGCTCAATCCAACGGGAGGAGCACAGCAGAGACAAAAAGTTCAAAGAGCTGGTGTCGAGGGCCGAAAATGGCGATTACGCGGGCATCGTTTTCATCAATAACATTGAGGAAAAATCAAGTAGTCCGTAAACCCAGGATGCCATGCGGGCCACAGTAGAGTTGCGTTTGAAGCAATTGGGAGCCATACTCACAACAACAGGGGAGCATATGAATGTCATTCCTTTCAATATGTAAATGTATTGCTAAAATTTTTGTAAACCTCTTGAAATACATCCATTTTGAAAGAAGTTACAAGTAAAGAAAAGGTGAAAT